GTAATCCACAAAAATAGAACAATTGAGGGCAGCGAAAACTATTGCAAATGTGCACACCAAGTGCTACAAATAGATTTATTTTCAAGGACATAAGGTACAAACGTTTCAGGTTATACCCTTTATCAACGCATGTCCTTACAAAAACAGAGTGCACTCACCATTAAAGGATCACTATAGTGTCAGGAAAACAAAGCGGTTTTCCTGACACTATAGTGCCCTGAAGGTGCCCCCACCCGTGGCGATGTTTCAATGCTTTCCGATGGACACTCTGCGCGATGGAGGCGAAATTCACCTCCAGCGTCGCAGATGAGCCTCTAGTGGCTGTCCGGAAGACAGCCACTAGAGGCTGGATTAACACCAAATGTAAACATGTTTGCATCTGCAGGGTTAAAACCTGAGGGACCTGGCACCCAGACCACTTCATTGATTTAGTGTCCCTTTAAATACATGACTCAAATAGACAGGACAGACCATAATTCCCAACCCTTGCATAATTGAGTAAAGCAGCCCCTCCTGACAACCCTCTGCCATCTTGGATACTGGATCACATGACACTGTCCTGTTGCTAGGAGATTAACAAAAACAAAACCGGTAGCAAACAGACTGAATAAGTTAGGTACAGAGGCCTCTAAGGGCCAAAAAACATATACCACAAAGCTGAAATCGCTTACTGGCAGAAATAACTCTGTATGCAAGAACACTGCTGTAAGCAGATAGCTAATAAATCATTTAAATAAAGCACATAAAAAAACCAACAAATAATACAATGGAAAAATGATTTACAAAATAAATAAACATAAATATAAAGTACCAAAAATGGTCTAAACTGCAGTGCTGCTAGCAGAGGTAATTATAAGGGGCTTTACGCAACCAGACACATCATAGAAGAACACCCAGATGAGAGCTTCTATTCCACAAATCTAACATCTACATCAAACCAAGTGTTAGAGTGTAAATATAAATATAAAATATATACAAAAATCTACAAGGTCCCTCAAACCCCTGCAAAGAGGAGGGAATAAGAAGGAGGACCTAGCGTTCCCATCCATAAGTAGGGGAATATCTGACAGGAATAAAGAGAAGGTTTAATCCAAAACCAATATCTATAAGCACATAGAAAACAGTCATACCAAAACACTAGTATGCATAAAGATATCATTCAAAAAGATATTCAAAAAAGACTCACCTTCCAGTGGGTATCATATGGAGAGTCTAGTGGAACCAGTGCTACTCATGCTTCTCATTAAGACCATGAGGTAACACTGTGTCCAGTTGATAGATCCAGCGAACTTCCCTCTGCAATAATCTCCTTTCTCTATCACCACCCCTAGGGGGTAGTTCAACCCTCTCAAGAATCTGGTACTGGAGCTGTGATACATTGTGTCTCATCTCCCAAAAGTGATGTGCGACTGGAGTGTCTGCATTTGCATTACGAATGGAGATTTCGTGAGAGACACGATCTTTAAAAGCACGAATGGTTTTTCCCACATAGCCCAAGCTGCACGAACACTTCAGGAGATAGACCACAAAGTCAGATTGACAAGTACAGAAACCTTTCAGTTTAATCTGCAGTCCTGTTCGGGGACATGCACAGAATTCACCCTTTATGATTCCGCTGCAGTGATTACAGCAGATACAGTGGTAAGTACCAAAGACCGGTGTATATAAGAACCGCTGTTTGTTTGGGGTTAAGCTATCAGCCTTTACCACTAAATTCCTTATGGTACCGCCTCTCTTGTAGGCATATAGTGGTGGTTCTTTAAATAGATGCCTTACCGGTCTGTCCAATTGTAGAATGTGCCAGTTTATGTGTATAATGTCATACATTTGAGGAGAAGAATATAATAAGACAATGGGGAATTTACACTATCATCATTTAAAAAAAAAAAAAAAATCTCAATAAATATTTGTTACAATATTTACTGGATACAATATATACTGAAATTTTTGAATAAATCACTTCTAAATCCTCCTTCTTTATACCATCTGATGGCACCTTTTGTCAGATTGTTAGTTAGCTGACCAAATACTTACAGTTCAAAAGAAAAGCAATAAATGGCTGCAAAATAGTAAGTTTTGGGTCAGATAACTAGCAATTTGACTAAAGTACATAAAGATTTGTCAGAAAGGGGTAGAGGGAAAGGTATTCACAGGTTTTCTTCAAACATTTCATGTATTAAAAAAAAATAATAATATGGTATGTTATAATGTAAAGATTATGTTAAGATCAGGGCTCGAGTCCTGCAGGAACGCATGGGAACGGCGTTCCTGCACTTTTTCCAAAGCAGGAACGCCGTTCCCGTTACCTGTCCTGCAGGACCGGCCCTGCTACCTGCACAGAGGGGCCAGCACACGCTGTGTTCCCTCTCCAGCTATAACTCTCGCGAGACCAGCGGCTGTTACCATGGCAACGCTCCGCACAGGCGAGTCTCGCGAGAGTTAGAGCTGGAGAGGGAACACAGCGTGTGATGGCCCCTCTGTGCAGCGGCTGGCTTCCCTCCACCCGGACCACCAGGCGATCTCCCCCCTCCCTGACAAGGTAAGAAGCAGGGAGGGGGGAATAAAATAAAAAAAAATATAGACACATAAAGTTAAAAAAAATGCTCCCCCCACATCATCCAGCACTCACACACCATCATCCAGCACACACACACACACACACCCATCATCCAGCACACACACACCCATCATCCAGCACTCACACACACCACATCATCCAGCACTCACACACCCATCATCCAGCACTCACACACCCATCATCCATCATCCAGCACTCACACACCCATCATCCAGCACTCACACACCACATCATCCAGCACTCACACACACATCATCAGCACTCACACACACATCATCCAGCACTCACACACCCATCATCCAGCACACACACACATCATCCAGCACTCACACACACCCATCATCCAGCACTCACACACACCCATCATCCAGCACACACACCCACATCATCCAGCACACACACCCACATCATCCAGCACACACACACACACATCATCCAGCACACACACACATCATCCAGCACACACACATCCATCATCCAGCACACACACACACATCATCCAGCACTCACACACCCATCATCACACACATCATCCAGCACTCACACACACATCATCCAGCACACACACACCCATCATCCAGCACTCACACACCCATCATCCAGCACTCACACATCATCCTGCACTCACACACCCATGCATCCTCACTCACACATCATCCAGCACTCACACACATCATCCAGCACTCACACACATCATCCAGCACTCACTCACACACATACACACACACACACACCCATCATCCAGCACACACACCCATCATCCAGTACTCACACACACATCATCCAGTACTCACACATCCATCATCCAGCACTCACACACCCATCATCCAGCACTCACACACACACCATCCAGCACTCACACACACAGACACACACACCATCCAGCACACACCCATCATCCAGCACTCACACACACACACATCATCCAGCACTCACACACATCATCCTGCACTCACACATACGTCATCCAGCGCACTCACACACATCATCCAGCGCACATGCATTCATTATACACACTCTTCACTCACTACAAACACTCTACATTCACTATACACTCACTACAAACACACTACATTCACTATACACCCTCTGCATTCACTATACACACTCTGCATTCATTATACACATTCTGCACTCACTACACACTACATTCACTATACACACTCTGCATTCACTACAAACACACTACATACACTGCATTCATTGTACACACTCTGCACTCACTACAAACACACTAAATTCATTATACACAATTTGCACTTACTACAAACACACTACATTCACTATACACACTCTGCATTCATTATACACACTCTGCACTCACTACAAAAACACTACATTCACTATACACACTGCATTCTATACACACTGCACTCACTACAAAACACTACATTTATTATACACACTGCACTCACTACAAATACACTACATTTATTATACACACTGCATTCACTACATTCATTATACACACTCTGCACTCACTAAAAACACACTGCATTCATTATACACACTCTGCACTCACTACAAATACACTACAATTATTATTCATACTCTGCACTCACTACAAACACACTACATTCATTATACACACCATGCACTGCACTATATGCATAGGAGTGTAATTTTTTGCAAATCTTGGGTGAGTTCCCACACTTTTTTCCCCAGGACTTGACCCCTGGTTAAGATATTAAAAAATGTTTATGGCAAGTGTTCCTTTAAATAGTGAGTGTTCTGTTTACTGTCTTTTGGTGTTTGCTTGGAAAATAGGTCCTGTCCTCCCTTCTTTCCTCACAAATACCAAAGCAACAAACATTGTGTCCAAACTTTTTGAAACACAAAATTCTGCCTTAATTTACAAAGCATTTGGACAAAGTTCACTCCTTCCTCAAAACAGATTGTATCTTCAAATAGATCAGAATGTATGTCAATTTGCCTTCCTGAGTTCTGGAATAGAAACCTAGCTGTGCTTAATTCCATGAGTGAATTTCCTCATCCTATTACTTTAATAATCATGCATTCGGTAAATTCTACTATAACAAAAGGTAAGTTATAATATGACGACAAGAGTATATGGATAGTATTTAGTATTTTAATTCTGACATGGTTTCAGCTAATCTGTTACACTTTTTCATATCCATTTAGTGAATGAAGTATATAAACAGGTCATTGAGTTTTTGGAGAAATTTCTTGCCAACAACTCATCAGAACTGGTGTGATCCTAGTTATTTGTTCAATCACATAAGCCAAATCTTACCCGCTTTCTTTTTCATTAGCTGCCTCTCTATTAAAACCAATGTTTCTATTTTATTTTTTTGATAACTGAAACAGAGCATTAACCCCTTCAGGACGGAGTCAATAGTGCACGTTCTGATCAAAACAAAATGTAAACAAAAACTAGAATTTGCGCTATGTCTGTTCAACCGTAATTCACCGCTGTCACATTAAGTGCACCCACACTTATTATATATCATTTTGTTCAGGAGAAACAGGGCTTTAATTTATCATTAACTATTCATATATGGAACATAATTTATTATGAATAAAATTTTAAAAATGTGAGAAAATAAGTAAGATTTTTTTTTAAATTTGTATTTCCATCTGACATTTTAGCTGTTAATGTCATAATACTGTTAAGTTTTACTGCAGAAAAATGCACATATTTGTAATCAGCGATGTCTCACGAGTACAACAGTACCACCCATTAACAGGTTTTATGGAGTTTTGGAAAGTTACAGGGTCAAATATAGCACTTTACATTTTCAAATTGAAATTTGCCAGATTAGCAATGTTACCTTTGAGATGGTGTGGTAGCCCAGGAATGAGAATTACCCCCATAATGGCACACCATTTGAAAAAGTAGACAACCCAAGGTATTGAAAGTGGGGTATGTTTAGTCTTTTTTAGTAGCCACTTAGTCACAAACACTGGCCAAAGTTAGCGTTCATATTTGTTTTTGCGTGAAAAAAGCACAAAACTAATATTTGGCCAGTGTTTGTGACTATGTGGCTACTAAGAAAGACTGGACATACCCCACTTGCAATACCTTGGGTTGTCTACTTTTGCAAATGGTATGCCATCATGGGGTAATTCTCATTCCTGGGCTACCATACGCTCTCAAAGGCAACATAACCAATCTGGCAAATTTCAATGTCAAAAAAATGAAATGCAAGCCTTAAATGTGACTCTCTAACTTTCCAAAACACCATAAAACCTGTACATGGGGGGTACTGTTATTCTCGGGAGACTTCACTAAACACTAATATTAGTGTTTTAAAACAGTAAAACATATTACAACAATAATATAGTCCATAAAAGTGCCGTTTGTTTGTAAAAAAATGCAAAAAACGTCACTTTTACTTAAAATATCATCGTTGTAATACAATTAACCAGTTTGAAACACTAGTATTTGAGTTCAGTGAAGTCTCCTAAGTAAAACAGTACCCCCTATGTATAGGTTTTATGGTGTCTTGGAGAGTTACAGGGTGAAATATAGTGCCTGTGAATTAAATTCTCTGCACTTTCTCCCTGTGTTGTCAGGCATGTCAATCAAAGTTTAATTAATCAAATCACATAATTATGTTAAAAGATTACTTAAATATACATGTAGAATTTTAATATATATGCATTTATAGGTATTTAAATTCTACGTGTATACTAATGTAATCTTTTATGTAATTATATGTATTTATTTATCTATATATATATATATATATATATATATATATATATATATATATATATATATATATATATATATATATATATATATATATATATATATATATTTGCGGTTATTTGTATTTAATATATAGATAGATAGATATATATAGAATGTCATTCTAAGTGTATTTTGTTACATATATATACACATATATATATATATATATATTAACAACAAAATACAGTTAGAATGAAATTAAATATGATTATATATTTTTTTTTAATTTTGTTTCAATATTTTATTTATTTTATTATTTTATTTATTATTGTAATTATACGTATATATATATATTTGTGTTCGGGGCAAATAGTCGTATATGGAGTAAGGTTCCAGCATAAGCTTAGGATAGTATAAAGGGAGCAAGTCGGTTGTGGTGTGCCGAGACCGACGATACGGTAGGCCTGTAAATAAAGAGGGCCCACCAAGGAGTAAGTAAAAAGTAAATGGAAAGAAAAGAGAAAGTGTTGAAATGAGGAGTGGGTGGGAGGGTCATTCTGATGCTGACCTCAAGCGATATGAGTCAGGTAAGGGGTGTCCCTTATATAGGGGAGTGAATTAATTTAAGCCCCTCCCACAAATACAGGCCAAACGGCCTTAAAACTTGTGTTCGGGGCAAATAGCCGTATATGGAGTAAGGTTCCAGCATAAGCGTAGGATAGTATAAAGGGAGCAAGTCGGTTGTGGTGTGCCGAGACCGACGATACGGTAGGCCTGTAAATAAAGAGGGCAAAAAGAATAATCAAAGATTTAATACAGTCAACAATATATACAAATTAACCAGACATTTCCTTAAATGCATTACGGTATTTAATTCCTTGAAGGATTTTGAAGGTAGTAATCTAGGACCGCAACTGGACACCATTTGTTGTGGGTAGGATAGTATGTTATCTCTACTGTTGGTGCGTGTTGACTCGTTTCGGAATGTGGTAGAGCCAATAGGTAATGATATATGTGTTTACATACGTGGGATTGTTGAAGACAATGATCTGTCTGAGTGGTGGTTATGGTAGTGGATTCTCTGGCCTGTGAAAGGCATAAAAGGCAGTGTGCATGGCTGGTAATGGCCGACTTGGTAGCATAATTGAATGGTTGTAGCTCTAATAGGTCCGATAAGGATTGAAAAGTTGGATGGCTATTGGTAATCTCTGAGAGGAACGTGGGGGGATGGGTTCCTGAAAACCTCTGAGTATATTCTTGTCTGGTATGATAGCATGAAGTTATGGTAGTTTTGGCCATATGTTATCCTGTGTTGTTGAATGCCTGTAAAATATATAATTAATGGTGTGTGAGATGGTTTTAGTTTAAGGTGGCAAAAAATGAAGCAAAACCTAGGAGAAATGTTATGACACAGGTTGAGCTATGTCGTGTTCCAATGAGATTCTTTAAAGCCAGGTGAATAGCTGTGTTATGCGTTCTACAAGTATGGGATGAAAGTGCTAGGTGGGATAGTGCATGCTATGCTGCATGAGTATGTCTAATCCATGATTTTGTCTATGGAACGAAAGAGTGGCCGTGACTGTATGGGCGGCTGTAGGAAGCATATGATGAACATGCCTGGAATATAAATGAGACAATTGTCCGCAGGGATGTATACCCCCGCCTGGTACATGAAAGTAAAAGAAATGTGGTAAGTGGCCAACCAAGTGAGTTCCCCAGCAATACCATGCGTAACAACGGATTGATGACCCTGACCATGATTTACCCCATGCCACAGCAGCTGCTTTTAGTGGGGAAAGGATTGCCCATTTTATGCCATGTAAGTGCCAGTGTGTAGGGTAGATGGTAGCTGTTTACTGCGTTGATGATATTGGTCTTACTTAACCAAGCTTCAACCCATGCTTGAGTGATAGCTGTAAAGGTAGATCAATGGTGTTGTATAGTAAGAAAAATCCTCGGAGGGTATGAGGGAGTTGAGACTTGGGGTAGCGGAGGTGTGTGGTGCCAATAAGTCTATGGTTAGTCTTTGTTTAAGGGAAGATTCCTTGTGACAATACCAATGTGTGTGTATGCTGTAAATGGTGGAAATTGGAAGACCCCTCTGCAAATCTTGGCTATGAGTGTGTTTACAGCCAATGGTTTTGTTGTGCTGACTGTAAGTGAGGGCATGCTATATTCCTTGAAGGTGTGTTTATGATAACTGTATGGGAGCCCTTTGAAGCTCCAGAGCTTTAGTAAATCTACTACAAGTCTGGAAGGGTGATGAGTCAGTAGTGTTGAAAATGCATTGGTGTGTACAGATGGTGAATACGTTATTTGTAAGTTGTATTGGGACACATGGTTTGTCATGTACCCTGAACTATTTGAACATATATGCAACAGTCTGTATGCAATGCAACTACTCATATCAGTGGTCTCTGGTAGTTCAGAGGTGCTGGTACCTGGAGCCTGAGAGTGCTCGTCCATTTGTTTGGGACAAAATCCCTTCTGTATGGGTACCTGCACAAATAAACATCTCCACATATTCCAAATGCCAACCCAACCAAGGGATGGTCAGTTCCCGATTTACCTGGAATCCCTGGATCTGACCATCACAGATACATCATCATACATATATATGCCTTGCTTCCCCAATGTGCTGGGATCATACATGCAGGGTTAACATCTTGTGTGTCATAAGAATTGATTGTACCAGGTAACAGAGTTTCGGTTGGTGCTGGTTGTACTGTAGCGTGAGGCCCAGCCTTGTGAGGGCTGTGGTGACCAACTCGAGATTGCCAGTCTGTCATAAATTTTTTGGCTCATGAGTTTATGAGTGAAGCTAGCATAGCCTGGGTGTCACCTGAGTTGATGTAGCTGGGCCTTCCCCTGCCTCCGTGTTGTCCGTTGATGTATGGAGGAGTTTGAATAACTGCTTTCCTTGCTGTAGCAGGGTAGGGGATTTGTCACCTCCTTAGGTCGGTGGTAATGTGTGGGATCGTCCAGGATCTGATTGCTGCTGGACTAGCAACATCTCCTCTGCTTGAAGGTGTATCAATTCTAGCCGGGGTGCTAGGAAGAGGTGATTATTCACCATCTTTTTGAGAAATACTTAAATAACAATAAAGATTGCAATTATTATTTGTACCCAGGGTTCTTGTACTGGCTTGCTAGCTAAGCCGTAAGGCGAAACGATTAGGCTTTGTGTTTTTTTTGGTGACTGGTGAGGCCCTGCTAGTTGCCAAGTGGCTTGAGAGGCTCTATCTATGCTTGGCGCGAGGGGATTTTGTGTGGCCACCAAACGTTGTGGCAGGATGTTGGCCTCTCGGTGACAGTAACCAGAAAAATAGGAAGGGGAGTGACAGGTGAGGTCCTCTCTATGATACAATGCGAGGCGGCTAGCTCACGAGTGGCCCGAGGGGTGTATGCCTCCGAGTGTGAGGCGGGGTGTTGGCCTCGCGGGACCACTAACCGAAGCATAATGCAGAGAAAAAAGGGGGTAATACCTATTGGGCCCTAGAACCCTAATTGCCAGTACACTATTACTATTCCAGGGAAGGTAAGAGATGGATAACTACGTGAGCAGGTGTATGTACCTGGTAGTATGGTATTGAACCTGACAATCCGTATAGGTTTTTTAGTAGTAACTGTAACCTGAATGGATAAAACCGTATGGCATAAGGAAATATGGCATAGACCAAGCTTATCTTAATACGTACAGTATATGTGAAAAGTAAAGTGACGTGATGTGTAAATATTAAACATCGTAGCCATACTGGTTAAATATGTATCAATCTTAACCCATTAAGTGCCGTATGTACAAGTGAAAATGTGGTCTGTCCCCACCTTGTATGTTGTATGTCCCCTTGCTAGGGGAAGTCTGTTGCGGGAGCAGCGTGCTGTGAAAAATGTATGTGAACTATATTACCAGTTACATATATACAGATGCTCTGCTACTGTGTAATAATATGTGTATTTATACCAGATGT